TTTGTACTTAATTTGGGTACTTATAATATTCAAAATGACTTACTCATTCAAAGTTGTTCTTAAAACAATATTGCTGGTATTGTATACAACATTCTCTTGGTTCTGCTCATTTCGCTCTTCATTATTTCCTGCAAGTTTTTCTACATTTTCATCATTTCTTATAGCACGGTAGTATCTCATAATAATCATGTAATACAACTTGTTCAGCCATTCCCCAACTGATGAGCATCCTCATGATTTCTAGTCCTTTGCAACCACAAAGAGAGCTGCTACAAATATTTTAGAACATGTAGGTTCTTTTCCTTTTCCCCCAATCATCTTTGGAAATAGACCTACTAGTGGTATGGCTGGGTCAAAGGGTATGAGCAGTTTTCTAAGTCTTATTGATGAATTGATTGGTTAGTAGTTATTGTGTCTCATACATATATATGCATTCAAAATTATGGGTATACGTACACATGGACTTATATATACAAAGAGTGCCTAAAGGCACCTAAAATACAGTTATAGTTCCCTCATTCTGATATAAGTAAACAAGTCAAGTTCTCAGTATTGTGGTGGTCTAAAAGATTCATACCTCTGTATGTTAAATGTTGATATAGTTCATCTAAAAAAAAATTGGCCAATATGATGATACTGGTATGGTTAACTTGACCAAAAATTACCTAATGACACATTCCCTGACCACTTCTATTACTATCCCATCTATAACCTAGATCAGGGCATCTTAACTTGTTTGTGTGTCATCTGGTGAAGCTTTTAATAAATGCCTTCTCAATAAGCTAGTGTGGTTTTTGGAAATTTAATAGTCAAAGGAATAATTACATTTCAATTAAAAGTTAGGCAAAATAAAGATGTATTTTTTCCCATCCAAATTCCCAGACCCCCTGAAAATTCTCATCAAATTCCTTGGGCGTCAGCGTACCTCAGGTGAAGAACCCCTGACAGACAAATATACCTTCTACTTTGAAGCTGAAGCCCCCTTCCCACTGGGAAGCCTTCCCTGGGTATCCCACACTGAACGCCTAAGGCTGACTTAGCCTAGGCCACATAAGCTAGTACCTAATCATGACCCCATGTTGTTTACTATTGTTCCATATATGTGCAATCTATTTGCCAGTGACCCAGAAAGCAGCTTAAGGATCCTCAATTTCCAGAATCTTTCTTCAATAACTTGTTATTTATCATTATTCTACTGAATAATCAAGTTTCTAGTCATTGTCAAGCAGATTTTACATTCACAGAAAAGTCCTAGAGATCAGAGGAATGGATTCGGGGAGTTGAGTCAGTCAGGCCAATAGCATTTATTGAGTCTCCTATGGACTAGGCGCCTGTCCTAAGCAGCTAGACCAGATGGCCTCGGAGCTTCTTCAAACTCTAAACTGATGATTCTGTGAAGTCCCCAAGCTCACTGGTAAGTATGAAGCCTTCAAGGGCTAGTTTGTCAGAGAACTGCACCCGCCACCTCCCCTCTTCACATTCATCATTGTAGAAAGGAGGATACTCTAATTCGAAATCCTGTAATACCACTGGGTGGCAGGAATGTCCTGCTTAGGAGATAAAAGACAGCTGCCTCTCATTCACAATGGGAGGAATTCTTAGGGTTGTGAAGGGATTGGATGAAAGTCATCATTTTAATGAGTATCATAGGAATTAGCACTTGAAAACAATAATAACAGCTAGTATTTCTATAACAAGCTTTGCAAAGTACTTTGTAAATATGATCTCATGTGACCTTCACACCCATCCTGGGAGAGAGGTGCTATTATGACCTCCATCTTACAAATACTGAAACCTGAGGTGAGAGGTTAAGTGACCTGCTTAGGGTCACAAAGCTATTAAGTGTTTGAGATGGGATCTGAACTCAGATCTCTCTGACTCTAAATCAGAGGCTCCACTGACTAAGCCATCTCACTAGCTTGAAATTGAGACCCATTTACTGCTGCAAACGAGGAACATGAGCCCCAATTTCATCTCACGTGGACGCCTATGAAAATGAAATTCATTTAATATTCCCCTAACTTTGGACAGGGCCAGGGGGTTTGGTTTCAGGCATGCTATTGACGCCCAGGGGCTGCAAACACAGGAGATGGAAGCACATGGCTGTGATGCACAGGGACACCTTCTCTCCTCTCCCATCCTGCTTATGCCTTTGTCTGAAGATTCCAGAGATATTTACAGATTCCAGGGGAGATCCTTGCTAGAAACAGGGGATTCAGGAGAGGGAGAGCTGCAGAATGAGGTGCCCATGTTTAAGGGATTAACTGGAGATACAGAAGAAATATTTCAGAGGCAGACCTCCACATGTCTATCCAGGGCAGACTTTACCCAGGGCTGCTGCCAGGATGTGGAGTGTTGGGCTTGGGAGGCCCCGTGGTGGACTGGAAGACCTGAGGTCAGGTCCTAACTCTGGCTTTCATTGGGTGTGTGGCTCTGAGCACCTCACTGAGCCTCTCTGTACCTCAGTTTGTTCATCAGTAAAATGAGAACAACATTTGCATTGTCAGTGATACTAAGGCTAATAAGAAGCCAGATCTCTTGCTTTGAACCTTTGAGTTACAGGGAAAATATCGGGAAAGCAAGGAGGCAAAGCTAAGGTCCTTGTAGAGCAAGCTAAGGTTTGGGCCGGGAAGGCCTGTGTTTGCCAGACCCTGACCCCAGCACACATATATGGGACTCTAAAAGGATGTTGACCCAACAATTGTTCCCAATGGGTAGTCTCAACATCCTTCCATGGTCCTATGTGTGTTGAGTAGGTAGTAGCAAAGGGCCAGCCAGGGAACCCCTTGATGTGAACCAACCATAAGTGTAGAGAAAATCAGAATCACAGAATCTGAGAGTCATTTGGGCCCTCAGAGGTCAGCTAGTCTAACCAGTGATGTCAAACTCAAACAAAAATTTGGTGGTGGTGATTTCATTTTCAACACTCTGTGACCCCATTTGGGGTTTTCTTGGCAAAGATACTGGAGTGATTTGCCACTTCCTTCTCCAGCTCATTTTACAGATGAGGGAACTGAGGCAAACAAGGTGAAGTGACTTGCCCAGGGCCACACAGCTTGTGTCTGAGGCCAAATTTGAACACAGGAAGATGAATCTTCCTTACTTCAGGCCCTCCGCTCTATCCACTGTGCTACCTGGCTGCCCACAAATAGAAATGGGAGCCACTAATTTGTACTTAAGGATCACTTCAGGCCACATACTTTGTAGAATCCACACTCTAACAAAGCCCATAGGATTTAGTCATAGTTCCTCCAAGGCAGGGCCTGCTGGAGCAGCCCTTCCTGCTTATGGACACCTATAATGGTTTAGAGAGGGGATTTGGAAAACTGGACTCTGGGGGTCACAGAATTAATGAATTAGGGTTAGAAAAGTAATTCCAGTTCTCTGAGAGATGTTTCATATTTCAGCAAACTAATTATTCATCAGAGATATAAAAGCTCTATTTTTGTCATGCTCCTTGTAAGCCACATAGGGACGGGAAGTCTCGTGAAAAGAGAAAAGACAAGTCCTCCATGTACAACCCTCCACAACTGGATGACCAAGGCAAGAGGAAGCTTCTGGGCTCAAAGAAGAAGATGGCTCCACTCCCTTGAAGCTCTTTCCCTACTTCAACCCCAGGGTCCCCAAATCCTGTCTGGCCATGGGATAAGATGGCTTACACCCCAGGGGAGATTGTCCACCCACTTATCACAGAATCCCTGGGCTGCTTGGGAGATGAACTGGGGCTCAGAGAGAGGCCTCCAACCTCCTGCTGCAAAAACTATGTTCTAGCCACTCAAAGCGTTGTATGAGCAACAAATACCCAGCATGACCCCAGGATCTGATCTGACATTTTTAGTAAATGTTTTCTCTTAATTATCACATATCAGCTAGGCGATAGGAAGGCCTGCTTCCACCTCTTTGTGTCTGCCCTCTGTAGGTCAATGAATCATTGTAATGGGAAACCCTGCCACACAGGGATTGTAGAACAAGGGAGCAAAACTTGGATGGCCTCAGAAGAGGAAAAAAATTATCCAATGCTAAGCTAAGATAGTGATTATAAGATGGGAGAGAAATAGAAATCATTAAAACACTCATCTTTTTTGAAAGAAACAATAGGGAAGAACAAAAGAGGGAAAAGTAAAAGTTCCCAGCATCATGGATCATCCCAAAGGGGAAAGGAGAGTGGGAGAGGAGGAAAGATACAGGTGGAGATCGATCAACGGACTCTAACCACATACAGGGTCAGGACCCCATTGAGGTAGAAAAGGGCCAGGTGCTTCTTTCTTTTTAGAGAATAAATATTCCCTTCTTCGTTAATTCCAAGGTGAAACCCTTCCCTTCTTCAGAGGGGGAAGCCCCCACCTGCGGTTAGGGTCAGGGCCCTAGAATGGGCCCTGAGCAGAGGCCACAGAAGCCTTTAGGGAGGCCCCTGCAATGAAAGAAAAGCAGGTACACATAAACAAGGAGAGAAAAAAATGACAAAACAGAGAGAATTGGAACTCTTTGAAGGCTGGTGTTGAGGGTCGGCTTATGGGCTAGACACCCAGCAGACTGTTTGGCCTTCATTCCAGTTATAGGAGGAACACACGGCCTGGGCTCCGTCTGAGGCCCTGGAACAAGTCCCAATATACCATGTCCACAAGTGCACCCGAGCAGTACAAAGCAAAGACAAGCATCTGCACCCTCACCACGTATAATACGCCAGCCCTCCCCCAGGCTCCTTCCCCTCTTGGCCCCAGCCCCGACCTGCACTCACAGACTCAGCAGACCAAATAAAAGGATTCTCCGATGTCTCCAATCTTTCATTTATTTTCCTGTCATAAGCCCAAAACATCTCCATGTTGTCATTCTGTCCCCCAAAATCCCCCACCCAAATGCAAGGCTCAGTTGAGGTTGTAAAGAAAAGCTAAAGTTTCAAGAACAATAATTCATTAGGCTTTTTTTTTTGGTTAGACAAAGCTCCCAGAGGTCAGTGCAACATCAGATGTGGAGGGTTCATTTCCAAAACCCTCTGCCCTTACTGCTGGTTGTCTCCCTGTGGAATGAGACAGGCAGAAAAAAAAGAAGGCAGGGGAGGGAGGTCTTAGAGAACAGGGTGAGGGCCCTAATGATACTTCCCCGGGGCTTGGGCCAGTAGAGTCCAGGGAGGATCCCAGGAGCTAGTGCTGGGGAGAGAAGCCAGGGGTCCACAGAAACAACACAAGGACTGGAGACTTGTTTTCTTCCTCAGGCCCATAGCAGGCAATTCTCTCAAGCTGAAGAAGGAAAGACAGATTCAGGGAGATCCTCCAAGTCCCCTCTGGCCTCCAGCCTCTCATCATTCTGAAGGGCCTGCCTCTCCACCCATCCAGTCCTCAGCCCAACCTCTCACCCACCCTCCTCTGTGCTTGGCCCCCTTTACCCCAGCCCCTCTCTCCTTCCAGGCCCCCAGAGTCTCACCTTTGGCTGGGAAAGAGACATCGGACCCCGGTGCACTGTCACTGCCTGGAGACAAAGGAGGGAAATGATCCAGTCAGGGACATACATTTCAGAACCAGGGTATAGGAAGGGAAGAAAACAACAAGGGAAGGCTACTGGGCTAAGCCTCTCCTCTGCCTTCTCATTGTTCAGGTCCCTGAGATGTTATGGGCTAGGCCCTTCCTTCTACCCTTCATGTCTACCCTTCACCTACCTGCAGCCGGAACATAGCCCCCTCCTTTTCTACCTGGAAAAGAAAACAAATTTCCAGTGAGGAATTCAGGAAAGGAGACCACACGAAGGTCTCAGGAGTTCACTGGTTTGTCTTGGAGACACAACAAATTACAACTGGGACTGCACCCCTGACCCCCACTCCAGTCCAGCCTCTGGATGCAAGAGGAAGAGAGAAAAGAGGCCCCCCAAATGGACACTTCCCCACCTCCAGGCCTGCCTCCAGGGGTTCCCAAGGCTGGTCTACAGCCCCAGCTGGGGGACACCCAGGCCCTCTGGCAGAGATCCCCATATTCATTGCTGATCTGAGTCTGAAGCAGATTCCCCACTAGGCCAGCCTGTTATACCCCTGCCAGGCATCCTCCAGAAAAATGGTTTCTAGGTAGGGATTTGTTTATCTAGAACAGCGGTGAAGAACCTGTGGCCTTAGTTAACTTTAAAATTAACAAATAGTTTTCATTTTTTTAAATTACTAAGTACATAGCAGTTAGATTTTTACAAAACAATGTACATTTTTAAATATGTCTAACTAAAGTTTCTTGAATTTGGCCTTTTTGATTACAGCTGAATTTCCCTAGCCCTGATCTAGACTCTTAAGTACTATCTCACAGTCACTTAAATGGGAAAGAGAGCACTTGGGGACAGAAAGACAAGCTTCTGGTCAGGGGAAGCCAGGATCTCCACGGTGCCTGCTCCCTAAGGACCCCCTCCCAGTCCTGCCCACCTGAATTCTTCTTCCTCCAGATCACAACTCCAGCAATGACTGCAATGATGTTGATGAGGACAACAATGACCCCTGCAATGACCAGGGTGGAGGAGAACTCTCGCTCTGAAATGGAAAAGGGCAGCGAGAGGCCCTGATCCCTCTGAGGCCTGAGATTCACTAGCCCCTCCCCCACTTCCCCCCAGTCACCCCACCTCCCTCTGGTCTTTTGGGAATGGGAGGGATGGCCTTTCCCAGCCCCTCCTCACGGTCCTTACCCCACTTCAGGGTGAGGGGCTCAGGCAGTCCCTCGTGCTGAACTCGGCAGGTATATTTCCCTTCCTGGCCCGAGGTCACATCCACACCTGCCCACTTCTGGAAGGTCCCGTCCCCTGCGGGCCTGGTCTCAATGAACTCTGTGTCCTGGAGCTGTTCCTCCCCATCCCGAAGCCAAGTCAGGGAGATGTCCGCCGGGTAGAAGTCCTGGGCCCGGCACCGAAGGGTCACCTCCCCGTCGGGGGCAGTGTGGCGAGTCACTCTGGCGGAGGGCGGGTCTGGAGGCAAAGGGCAGAGACATTTCCAGGCTCTCCCTTTCCCCCTCCCCTCCAAGGGCACGAGGACGGGTTGGGCCTGGGGGAACACCCCACAATCCGGGCGTCCCTGAGGGTCGGGGACCCGGGGCTGATGCTGCAGGGGAGGTGGAGAAGGACGGGCTGGGGGCCTTGAGCGTCGCGCACACGCTGGCGGATTGGAGCCCTACCCGCCCTCTTCAGCGTCTCCTTCCCGATCTCCAGGTACTTCTTGAGCCACTGCACGCACTTCTCCTCCAGATAGGCTTTCTCTCTCTCAACCAGGCTCCTGTCCGCCTCCCACTTGCGCTTGGTGTTCAGAGCCTGGGGCACCAACGCGGTCCACGTGGCGCTCTCCGTGTCCAGAGCGATGTAGTCGTGGCCGTCGTAGGCGAATTGGTAAAACCCGCGCTTGAAGGTGAGCTCGGGGGAGACCTCGCAGCCGCAAATGCTCTGGTAGGTGTGGACCCCTGCCCCGCCCCCAGCCCCAGGTCAGCGCGGCCAGACGTCTCCCAGCCCGCACCGATTCCCTGCCCCCCCCCCCCCCGCCCCCCACGTCTGCAGTGGGAGCCACAGGAGAAAGTGGGACGGGCCTCGCCCCCGCCCCTCCCCCTCCCCTCTGCTCTGGGGCTCACGTGACGCTCACGCACCGCCCTCACTCTGGTTGAAGTAGCCGCGGAGGTTTTCCAGGCCCACCCGGTAGCTCTGTGCGTTCTCCTTATTGACCCGCGTGTTCCGCTCCCAGTAGCCCGGCTCCATCTGCTCCATCCACGGCGCCCGCGGCTCCTCCCTGGCACTCGCGCCGTGGCTGTCGAAGCGCACGAACTGCTGGTCGTCCACGTAGCCCACGGCAAGGAACCGGGGCTCCGCGAGCTCGGGCGAGGCCATGGCGGCGTCGAAATACCTCAGGGAGTGAGAGCCTGGACGTGGGGACCCGGGCCGGGGTCAGGACAGTGACTGCGTAGACCGGACCCCGGCGGCCCCGGGGAGTGGCCTTGGGAACCCCGCCGCCGCGAGATGCCTCCTCCCCGGCGGCATCCCAGCCCCGTCGCCCCCGGCACCGCTACCTCGACCTGCTGTGTCCTGTGTCCAGTGTCCAGGCGGCCAGTTAATAGTATTCTCTACTTACCTGCCCGGGTCTCCTTCGGGGCCAGGATCCCCAACAGAAAGAGAGAGCACAGATAAGGCTCCATGGTAGAGAAGTGAAACTTGTTTGCTCTGGGTTTGGCTTCACCGAGGCTCTGCCAGCCAATAGCAAATGGAAGACAGAAAATGTCATTGGTGACTGGGCAGCACGAGCACTGAAGGGTTAGGAGACCAGAGGTGAAACTGAAGGAGGAAATGCGCAGTGTTCTGGACCTTTTCTCTTTATGTGTTACGCACAGAACAGTCTCCGAATGTGTCCCTCTTTCCCATCGTCGCTCCAGGAACACCCTGCTCTTTTGCTCCCGGGGGAACCTGAGAAAAAACAAGGTCCCAGCCCTCCTCAGTGTAACCCTTTCCCCTCCTTAGAAGTTGGGAAGAAAATGTCCCCACCCAAAATGGAGAGTGTCTGAGGATTCAAGAAATCTGAAGGCTGATTTGTGGAAGGCTGTGTTGCCACCTCTGTTTTATTGACCTCCAGCCCAGCTAAGACGGCCTTGTAACCTTCCCAGGCCTTGTAGATAAGCAAGCAAGGGACCCAAGAATAAAGAGTAATTCAAAATCCAGTAAATGGAATGTGGAATCGGATCAGAGTAGGAGACTTCATCTCACCATAAACAGGGTAGGTAGGTGGCACAGTGGATACAGCCCAGGGCCTGGAGTCAGGAAGACCTGAGTCCTAATCCAGGCCTCAGACATTTACTAGCTGTGTGACCCTGGGCAAGTCACTTAACACTGTTTGCCTCAGTTTCCTCATCTGAAAAATGAGCTGGCACTCCAATTTCTTTGATAGGAAAACCCCAAATGGGGTCACAGAGGGTCAGACACAAATCAATAACAACAAAAGGAAAGAGCTTACTTATTAAGATGGAGAGGACTGCTATTTCAGCCTAGGGTTGGTTCTGAACTGCCTAAAATATGAAAGTGTGAATCCCCAGTGACCTTTTTTTCAGAAACAATATGGGTATACCGGCATGAAGGCAGATTGCCCCTCCTACAAGCTGGGTGGGGAACAAAGAGGAAGGGTCTCATGGAAGAGATCACCACAGTTCATCATTTTCACCTTCACAACAGTTCTGCTACTTGTCCCCTTCTGTCCACTCACACTGGTGTCACCTGGTGGGCCTCTCTGACTCCAGTCTCTCCTCACTCCAGTCCAGCCTCCACTCAGCTGCCAAGGGAATCTTCCTAAAATAAAAATCTGACCCTATCACACACCCAGCCTTTGATTCAGTAAACTCCAGGGTCTCCTGTCACCTCCAGCATCAAATGCAAAATCCTGTTTGGTCTTTAAAGCTCTTTGTAACCCAGCTACTTCCAAGCTGGGCAATCTTCTCACACTTCACTCCCCTCCACTTACTTTGGGGTGGAGGGGCACCTGACTTTTGGCTGTTCTGCACACAGGACTCCGTCTCTCAACTCTGTGCTTCTTCACTGGCTGTCCACCATGTCTGGAATGTGCTGCCTCCTCACTTCTGCTCTCTGCCTCCCCTGCCTTCCTTCCAAATATAGCTCAGATCCCATCTTCTACAGGAGACCCTTCCTGGTCCCCCCTCTCACCCAATGCTTGTGTGGTCCATCTGAGATGACCTCCCATTTGCCCTGTATATAGCTTCTGTGACCATAGTGGATTCCATGTTGTCCCTTCCATTAGACTGGGAGCTCCCTCCCTGAGGGCAAGGAGTATTTTATTCTTTCTTTGTATCCCTACTACTTCTCACAGGACCTGGTACATAGTAGGTGCTTGATAACTGCCTGTTGACTGACTGGATTTATAATTCAAGGACCTAGGTTAGAAATCACATTCTGATTGGTATTACCTGGGTGACCTTTGGAAAGTGGTTGAAAAGTTCTTTGCTTTAGTTTCTTCATTTGTAAAACAAGGCAGTTGGACTCGAGTATCTCTAAGGCCCCTTCCACGTCCTAATCTTACAGCCCAATAAGCTGTTATGCACACACAGAGGCACTGAGTGTTTTAGGTGGCACCTGGTTGGGGTGGGGGTTTAGGAAGTAGCTGGAAGTTCCTCAGACTACTATGTCTAATATAGCCACAAGAGGGCGATCTAGGCTTGAGCTAATGACTTGTAACTACAACTACAGATCACTTGCAGCATGGAGAGAAATGTTAGTTACCCCAGTCCCTTGATATCTACCTCTTGTCTCTATAACTCTCTAGTTGCCTCCAATGTAAAAGCCTGTGAATTTTCATGTTTTCTTAATACTCTGTCACTTTGTAGCTCATTGCCCTCCTCTCACTTACTTCCAAGATCTCTTTTCCCTCCTTATTGTGACCCCAAAGAATTCCTCGCTAAGAGATTCAATGCAGTTTTTACTGCAATGAGAAGGAAAAGGCTACTGGCATCTGATCAGACTTCCATGTGGAAAGCAGCTCCTCTAGTTATAATACACATGTTTTCTTCTCCATGGACCTTCTCTTCTGGTTTGTTACAGATACAGAGGAAGGCTTTGGGGGGATGGACCAAGGTGAGGGCAAGGTTCAAATTCTCCTGGGAAAATGAACAATCATCTCCCTGACATCATCTTCTGCTCACTAGCTGTCAGTCAATCAACAACTGCCTACTATGTGGCAGGAACCGTCCTAAGCCCTGGGCATACGAAGAATAACCAGAACTGCTCCTGTTCTCAAGGACCTTACAGTTTAATGTTTCAAATCACTATGTGAAGCTCCTGGGAAGCCCCTTGGTGAGTCCTGCCTCACATGCTGTCCCTGGAGACTTTCCCCTCCAGCCCTACGCCATGTGCTCAGGTGGCTTCTGGGCATCTTCTCCAGGCAGCAGCACCTTCTCCAGCCCCCTCCCCCCCCCCCCCCCAACCAGAGAAGAGAGAAGGCCTGAAAGCACCTGGGGCAAGCTCCAAGCCAAGCTGAAACACACAGAATGCCTTCTGCCCTTTTAAGAAAGTGTCCCCATGGGGCAGCTAGGTGGCGCAGTGGATAGACCACCGGCCCTGAAGTCAGGAGGACCTGAGTTCAAATCTGGCCTCAGACACTTAACACTTACTAGCTGTGTGACCTTGGGCAGGTCACTTAACCCCATTGCCTAGCCAAAAAAAAAAAAGTATCCCCAGGTTGACATATGGAATTTGCTTGACCTTTGGGAAAGCCTTGTATCATAGTCCTGAATATTTTACCTCCAATTTCTGTCTTCACCAGAACCTGTCAAAGTGCAGAGGTAACCAAATGCTGCCCTGTACAGGAGGAGACTGAGGCAGCAGGTGCCACATTCCTTCGATCAGAACGGGTTTTTCTCCAAAGCTTTGCCAGGGAGATTGGTGAGCAGGCCAGGTGAGTGGGGACTTCCTTTCTGATGCAGGTGCTAACTCATGAACTACATAGTCACTAAACTGAGGGACTCTGGGCTCACTTGCTGGGGTCCCCTAGAACTCTTTTCTCTCGACTGATGTCTGGGGGTAAGCCACTTTCCTCATCCTTGCTGCCTGGGGATGACATTTTTTCCTTTTGTTTATATTATAATTTATTTATTTTTAGTTTTCAACATTCACTTCCACAAGATTTTGAGTTTCAAATTTTCTCTCCATCTCATCCCTCCCCCCACCCCAAGATGGTGTGGATTCTGAATAATCCTTCCCCTAATCTGCCCTCCCTTCTATCCCCCCCTTCTCTTATCCCTTTCCCCTTCTATTTTCCTGTAGGGCAGGATAGATTTCTATTGCCTGTATATCTTATTTCCCAGTTGCATGTGAAAACAATTTTTAACATTTGTTTTTAAAACTTTGGATTCCAAATTTTCTCCCTTCCTCCCTCTCCCCACTCCCTCAATGAGAAGGCGAGCAGTTTGATACAGGTTATACATGGGTAGTCATGCAAAATACTTCCATAGTAGTCATGTTGTGAAAAACTAACTATATTTCCCTTCATCCTATCCCAGCCCCCCTGTTTATTCTATTCTCTCTTGTGACCCCATCCCTCCTCAGAAGTATTTGCTTCTGATAACCCCCTATCCCAATCTGCCCTCCCTTCTAGCATTTCCCCCACTCCCTTATCCCCTTTCCTCCTATTTTCCTGTAGGGTAAGATAGATTTCCATACCCAATTGAGTGTGCATGTTATTCCCTCCTTAAGCCAAATCTGATGAGAATAAGATTCACTCATTCCCTCTCACCTTCCCCCACCTCCCCTCCACTGTAGAAGCCTTTTCTTGTCTGTTTTATGTGAGATAATTTACCCCATTCTACCTTTCCCTTTCTGCTTCTCCCAGTATAATCCTCTCTCACCCCTTAATTGTATTCTCCAGATATCACCCCTTCATCTTCAACTCACCCTGTATCCTCTATCTATCTATCTACATATATATATTTATTTTCCTCCAACTACCCTAACACTGACAAAGGTCTCATGAGTTACAAATATCATCTTTCCATGCAGGAATATAAACAGTTCAACCTTAATAAGTCCCTTATAATTTCTCTTTCCTGTTTACCTTTTCATGTTTCTCTTGAGTCTTATATTTGAAAGTCGAATTTTCTATTCGGCTGTGGTCTTTTCATCAAGAATGCTTGAAAGTCCTCTCTTTCACTGAATGTCCATTTTCCACCCTGAGGATTATACTCAGTTTTGCTGGGTAGGTGATTTCTTGGCTGTAATCCTATCTCCTTTGACCTCCGGAATATCATATTCCAAGCCCTCTGGTTCCTTAACGTAGAAGCTGATAAATCTTGTGTTATCCTGATTGTATTTCCACAATACTTGAATTGTTTTTTTTCTGGCTGATTGCAATATTTTTGCCTTGACCTGGGAACTCTGGAATTTGGCTACAATATTCCTAGGAGTTTTAGGGGATGGCATTTTTCCTGGAAGATGCTCAACCAGAGGCATAACCAGGATGAGATCAATAAGGCTTTGTCCTAAGAATAATCAAATTTAGAGGGTGTCATGTTGGTGCCAGAGGATAGTGATGAGCAGCTGCAGGCCTGGGGGTAGGAGGGTGACCAGGCTAACACTGCAGGTTCCATTCTAAAACCCATTTGTGTATCAGGATCTGGAGAAACTAATTTCAAGGATCTCATCTTCCTTCAGGCTCCTCCCAACCAAGAGAAGCAGCTTAACCCAAATGCTCTAAACCTGGGCACCCGTGGGCATGAGGACTCTGTGTGTGTGTGTGTGTGTGTGTGTGTGTGTGTGTCTGTGTCTGTGTCTGTGTGTGCACTTATGTGTTGTCTCTCCCATTAGTTTGTGATCTCCTCAAAGGCAAGGACCCCCTAAAGATCCAACATGGCCTCCTAGGACCACACACAGAGATGATGGTGAAGATGGAAAAGGTGCAATGCCATGCAGTTACCACCATATTCCAACCACTTTATCAGAGAGAGCTAAGGAAAATGCCCTCACTGCTTATGAGTAGGCTAGGATGCCAACTCACTGACCAACTGGATTCACACCTAGAATCTGGCAGAGTGAGCTTGCCTAGAGAAGCTGTTAAGATCAACAGGAAGGTGGACACTGTGGCTCTGGTGGTCTTGACTCACCAGTTGTATCTGAAATGTCAACTCCACTAGAACCAATTTTAACCTATTAAATATGGAGTTAATCAAAATAGTTTTTAAAAACGAGTTCACAGACATGTGGTTACAAGCACCTGAGCTGGAAGATCTGGGCCTTTTCCTTCTCCTGGCTGGGCCTCTGAAAAGGCTAGAGGAGGAGGCCTGTGATTAAAGGGCAGGGTCATGGTCTCCAGGGCCTCTATTTCAGGAGAGGTCTCAGCATAATCTTCTCCCCATTTCCTCCCAACTACATGGCTATTGGACTTCTGTAGACCTCTCCATCAGGCCTTCCCTCCTCAGGCAACTTAGTATTGGGAAATCTCATCCTGCAAAACTGGATCTGCCTCAGTGCTCATATCTTCTCAGTACCCTCTGTCCTTCTGATGGGACCTTCTGACTGGAGGGCAGCATCATAGGCTCCAGGCTCTCTGTTCAAGGCCAGCGGCTCAGTCCAGTCTTCTCCCCATTTACCACCAGGAGCCCTGCTTTAGACGTCTCCATCCCTCCTCCTCCTTGGGAACCTCCTTCTCTGCCCCTTCCTTCCATACCCCGCCTCCCCATTCAGCTTCCTTTTGTGTGTTATCTTGTCCCATTAGATTGTAAACTGTTGGAGGGGAGGAACTGTGTTTGTTTTCGATTGTACTTCTAGCCTCAACATTTAACATATTGCTTGGCACACAGTAGGTGCTTAAGAAATGTTTATTGACTGACTGCTTGAAATCAGTACCTAGGCATTTAGGGACACTGAAGGAAAAAACCTGTGACAATGCCTCCCCTCCCCACACTCATTATGGGAAGAAAGATCTTTTGGAGGGTGAGCTCCCCATCCCACCTCAGCTGCTACACAACAGAAAATCCTGGCGCTTTGCTCCACCCTGCCTAGGGTCAGGCTTCAGTACTGGGAGGGAGAGATGGATATTTGTAGTCTAGCCTGCACACAGGCTGCATGGGGGGTTAAAGTGCACAAATGTGGTCAGAACCGTGTCTGTTGGGTTCCCTTTCGTGTAGGATGGGCTAGCTTTCCCCCAAAACAGCAGGAAGATTGTCCCCAAGTTTTGACTGGTTCAGGTACCTAGGGTTTGAGCTATAGATATGGTTTCGCAGTTTCCTTGGTTGTTGTCCTGGAAACCAGGAGATGTAGATGAGGAGGCAGAACATTCTGTTCTTGAGGGAGAGGGGAGATGGAGTGTTTCCTTGGAGGAACAGCAAGGAGGCCAATGTCACTGGATCTAGGGTGGCATGGTGAGGGTAGTGGTAATGTTAGAAAATGCAAGAATGGTAGAATGGCAGCTGAGGATGGGTTATGAAGGGGTGGAATCCAGTTGTTTTTCTGTTTGACCCCAGAGGTGATAGGGAGCCACTGGAATTCATGGAATAGAGGAGAAACATGCTCAAACCTGGCTTAAGAGACAGCTGAAGGGAGGGTGGACTAGAGGGAGAAGACACTTGTGGCAGCAGACCAACCACAGACTAACGTAATCTCCTAGGAGTGGTGACATGGACCAGAGTACCAGAGGAGAGAAAGGGGGAATGTGTGCGGGATTTTACAAAGGCAAAATCAACAGACCTTGGGAATAGATTGGATATGGGAGGTGAGAAACAGGGGAAAGTCCAGCATTGATATCTAGGTTTGGAACCAGAGGATTGAGAAAGGTAGTGCCTTGGACTCAATATTATTATATTGAGGTGTGGAAGGGGTAAGTGTCTGAGGATGAAACGAATGAATTCAATTTTGGACATGTGGAGTTTAAGGTGTCCACAGGACATCTATTTCTAATTGTTCAATAGACAAATGGAGATGGGAGACTATAGGTCAGGAGAGAGGTTAGGGCTGGACAAATAGATTGTAGAATCATCAGTACAGAGATGAGAATTGAAGCCATGGGAGCTGATGAGATCTCTGAGTGAAACAATTTAGAAGGAGAAGAAAAGAAGGCCCAGGAGACGCTCCAGGAGGAAATTTAGTTAGCAGGCCTGACCTGGATGAAGATCCGGCAAATGAGATTGAGAAGGAGCAGTCAGACAGGTAGGAGAAGAAATAAGAGGCAGTGATGCCATGAAAACTTGAAGAGAAGAGATTATCAGGGAGGTGAGAGTGTTGTAGTCTGAGAGGTTGAGACCCCTCAAAGACTGGAGCACAGGACGGGGTCATCTGGAATGAATTCACAGACTCAAGCATTCTTTAAGTCAAGGTGGCAAAGATTTATTGTTACACTTTTCAGCGGGCAAAGATTCTTAAGGAACCTGCGAGAGACTGAGGATGGAGCTAGGGTTTATACGGAAAAGGGCCTGGGAAAGGAATGCCAGGGACACTGATGAGGTAATCTAAAGGTCCAGGTGTCTTTGGGAGCTATGGATGAGAAAGTACAGGGAGTATACTGGACAGGGAGGGAGATGACAGAGGTATGGATCTTGGGAGTCTGGCAGGAGGAAGAGTCCTTGGGCCAGCCAAGGACAAAACTCCTTGGGCTGGGCAAGGCACCCCTCTCCCTCTGTCTTGATGACAGAATGCTCTGCAACAAGGGAAAGCTTTCTCACAAGACAGGAACTTACTAAGGAATTGGGAGGCTTCCAGAAACATGATCTGAGGGCTGAGGCCTGAGCAGCCCAGCACTCTCTCACCCAGCTTTGTGTAGCTGCACCAGGGAGAGAGATAAGGGTCTTGCTGGGGCCCATGCATGAGTAATTGCTAGGCACAGTGTCCTTGGGCTGGGGAGTGATTGTCCGAGACAGTGTTTCTGAGACTAGGGAGAAATTGGGGCCCAAGTACAAGCACAAGCACCCA